GCAAGCCACATTTTGGCAGATCCAGTACGAGCAATGGGCATAAAATGAACGTTTAGATATTAGGTGGGTTCCTATTATCCTTTTTTTTTCCAAATTTTGTGTACCAGGTCCAAGTGTTAAGTTATGACAACCAGGCAATGCTACCTATGAAGATGCACATTAAGGAGAAATAATTTAATTAGATGATGGGAAATGAGAAGAACAGATCAATATACTTGTGCAACACTGCAAGTTCAGTCCTATGTGCAGCAAACATCAAGAGCACTTTCATATTAAGCTTGACAAAATGGCTTTCAGATTGCTAACATTCGGCGCAACGCGGCCCCCGCCCCCCCGCCCCCCCCCCCAAATTGGGGACCAACTTGCCTATGGCTATACTCAGTGCTATTAAATTTTGCCTGCTAGCATGAATCTTTCTTTCAAATGTTAGGCGGATAAGACACTAAGAGTATACCACTGAAAGAGGACTTGACCAATACATCTAAAAACACAGAACAAGAGCATCACGTACAACACAAGAACAGAAAAACTTTTAGAAACAATGCAAATAGAGTTATCATGTGTTATTACCATAACCTTTTATTCCTAAGTCATAGTTCGTAGATGTGTGACTTAGTCATTCAGCAAATTAGCTGTGTTCTTTGGTACGAAGGACTCTCTAAGGGCATGTTTGGATGGCAGTTGATGTGAGGTGAGGGAAGGTAGGAGTCACATTAACCCTGTTTTGGGAATTCAGTTGAGATAGATAATGGTGGGAAGTTAAGTATAACTGAGGGGAAAACTTTTGAGATCCGCGCCCCCCCTCCTGCCCCTCCCCCGCGCCCGGCCTAAACCATTTTTTTTTTGGGTGGTGAATGGAGGGAAGGGAACTGCTAAAAAAGGAATACTACATGGAGACAATTTTACCCTTCTATCAAGCTGAGATCCAAGCAAGTGAAATAACATATAAGGTTACTTATGTAGATTGACACATACCTTCCTTCACTTTATTAAACTTCCCAAATGGAATGAAATAAGTTCCCCTTGGTTCCCTGTACTAAATTCCCAAACAAGTTTATGTTACCTTAACTTTCCTTAACTTATTATCCTATATTCACTTAACTTCCCTTCACTAGGGACAAGTCCAAACTGGCCCTTAGCAAACTTAAAATATGGCTAGCAGCCTGTTTGCTATCTCTATCTGAAGGTTCCTGCAGAAAACCTGGTATTCTGTGTTAATAACTTATTTTGAAGCATAAGACAACATTAAATTTCTATATGCTAGACAAGCATAAAGAAATACCCTTCAGTTAAAAAATTAAAAAGAAAAAACCACAAATCATTTTTGCAACGGACGCGAGTACAAGCCCCTCTCAAGCCCTAGAAAGCAGGAGTCATTGCAGAAGCAAGAACTACGAGAATTTTTTTATGGATAACAAAGACCATAGGCAATCTTGGATTTGGAGCATCCCATAACACAATTCCACTCTTAAATATGGACCAGGCCTGAGTGCTGAGCTAAAAGTAAGTATAAAGCCTGAGAATACAAAGGAAGTAGAATGAATAAGTTTCCTATTAGTAGTTAAAAGAAAGTATAGCTTTTAGAGGGAACACTGACCCTTTGTTAGTGCATATATAGCATAAGGTTTCTTATAGCAGAAAATGACTAGACTGCTGTATGGGTGGTAATATTCCCCAAACTTGCAGAGTAATCTAATTTGAAGTTTTAATCCCTTATACTATATAGAAGAGATGACAAAAATACACTCACAATGGCCACAGAAAACTCCATAGGTTTAAAGATAAAATATACCTAGACTAATTCACTAACATCATTGGCCAAGTGTATTACTACGGCTCAAACGCCACTCCTCGAGCTAGAGCTATCTAAAATGGATATCCAAAACCTGGTCATATTTATTCGAGTCTCTTAAAAACTTCATCAACTTGGCTCTTCCTAAGATCCTTCAGGTTTCACATGAACTTCCAAAGGAAAAAAACATAAGTATACTAGGCGGACAAAGGATCCTAATTGTACGTACTCAAAACTGCCGGCATGCTAGCTGGTTCTCAATCATGGATGAGCGGAGCGTCGTTGATGATTTAGAACCTTTGCTCTCATGCGGGCAGATGCGTACTCCATTCTCAATGCCTCCCATCATGAACGGTAATGAGTAAGCATTTACTCTATTCATATTTTCATGCATAAATGGCTATCCAAAATAAAAAAAATTGCATAAATTAAGCCTAAGACTTTACTTGCACTGCCGAGTTTCTCTGCTCTTTTCGTCATCTGCCCATTTCAAACGACCAAGAAATTCACTCTTAAGGAAAACCCAGAAACATTGCACACGCCTCCTTAAGGATTGACAACACTGGATATCAAGATAAAATATTTACAGTTTAATCAATTTTCCAAATACTTATTCAAACAATTATATAGACCAATTAAGTAGACAACATATCGCAATAATCAACTAAACCAACGAAGTTAACTACATTGACAAAACCCGTGACTTCAATAGAACTATATATCGTCACCTCTAAATTTTAGAAACTACAATACATGAATCGTAAACAAAATTACAGCAGAAATAAGTAACTGAATATGCTATTTTTGCAAAATAACTAATGCAGATGTACTGTTTGACAAATTGCCGCATTGAGGAAATGCAATACGAACAAATCATAGAGCTGAGAAGCTAAAACATTTTACAAGGGAGGAATAAATTAGAAAATAAAACCTGAGGATCGTCTCTTCAGCGAGCTCGGCGGATTAAAACTTCAGAGCACAAGTTTTGCCCTTTCTTATTTTTTTATAGTTTTGAAGGCTCGTCCTTATCTCTCCTTGAAGGACACACGTGCAGTACACACGTGCAGTACACACGTGCAGTAGCAGGTAGTTGGCACGTGTAAAATGACGGCATTAGTAGAGTTCCTAATGGATCGGGTTGGCATTAAACCCGACCCAGTCCAACCCGATTGCTTGTCCCCCGCAGAAAAAAATTAGAATTTTTCTGGTTCCCTCATTTTCTCTCCTCTTTAAAGCCCACAAAAAATGAGCACATATAAATAGAGAAATATTAATTCATCAAAATCAAGTTCAATAACACTGTTTTCATTTGCAATGAGCTGCCGCTGCTTTCCTCTCTCTCCTCCAACGAGAGCTTCAGCTCTCATTCACAAACCAAAATCCCATGGTAATTCATCAAACGAAAGTTCACGCCTTTCTATATTTTTCATCTTTATTTTTATCTTTTTTTTAGGAAAGGAAAAAGGGAAGCGCCAATTGCCAATAAAAATACCAGCTTTGGCCGCAGCAGCCAGTATTTCAGGTGCTTTTTCGCATTCTTTGTTTAATTTAGTGGATTTTTGAAGTGCAGGCAGTGTGTTTGATGAAATGTCTGCTTTGGCTGTTGTATGCTTTTTTGGGTTTTCAGTTGCCTCTTTGGTTGCGATTGATTCGGCGAATGCGATGTCCATGGGGAATTTGTTGGTGCGTTTTCTGATACCTGTGTTGTTCGTTTGGATTGGATTACCCTTGTATGCTACAAATTGGTTTACTATGGGGGACAAGTATGAGATGTGAGTTTTGTTTTGTGAACAATGGTTGGATCTGTGAATTGGGTATTCGGTAAAATTGGATGTTTTTTGTCAATTTTTTCGAATTAGCAACTACTAGATCCAATTTTCAGTATGATTAAGCACAGAAATACTTATAAAATTAGGATAATAGGGCCCTTGTCTTGAGGCCTCAATATTTGTGAGGGGTTTCTGCATATATACCCCTCAAATGCTTCATATTTGCAAATGTACACCCCCTATTCTTTGTATTTGTGGAACTACCCCAAAACTCTCATGTTTAGTCTTTCTATCCCTCCAACTTAATGATGTTGGTTGCTCAAGAAGGCAATTTCAAAATACAAAAAGGTTTGTAACATAATGTTTTCCAGTTTAAAAAACTAAAATTGTTAAGTGGGAGGGGTAGAAAAAATCAATGTGAAATCTGAAAATTAGGAAAAAATTGGGTATGAAATGGTGGCTCATTTTGCTCAATGAGCTACCCAGAGATAACCACATGGTAGACCCACCCTACTCGTCACATCAAAAGGTGTGAGTCTCACTTCCTCTATCTCTTAGTAGCTCATTTTGCTAAATAAGTCACCACCTCATAAGTCATAACCATCAAACCCTTGCAAATATGAAAGATTTGAGGGATATATACGTGAAATCCCCTATTTGCAAAAGAATGCTCAACTTTGTGAGGGGCATGTTTGGTTAGGAGTAATTGGAATAACAAATGCTTTATTAACATCATGTAGTTTCAATCCGGCTGTCAGAACACACTTCAATTTTAACATAGCAGCAATTCCCTTGTTCTTAGCCTATTTGCTTTGGCAATCTTTTGATACTGTAACAACATCCAACATAACATGTATGTTGAAATTTGGGTGTAGTTGAAACACTGGTTCACCAACTACTGCTTCCAAACACACAAGTAGTACTGGCACAATTTTTTTTATCCCCAACTCTTCTCATTACTTAAAGTGAATGCTAATGAGAGCAATGGGAAAGAACATATAGATGATGGTTGAACCTAAGATATGCATTTTTTTTCTCTCTTGGCTGTCAGATAACTAATAAAATTCCAAAGAAGTAGGAAATTTTCGGTGGGAATTTTTGGGAACTAGTGCAAGCAGGAAACCTATTGTGATATCTGTTTCAACTCCAATCTTGGTAAAGCACACTAAGTGAATCAAGTATTCTGGAAACTAGAAGCCCCTAATGATATTTGTTTGTTTCTGCCAAATCACATTTGGGATTTTTAGACTAACGAGATTAATAGATTCCTTGTGATTCAGTTAACTAGACTTCGTTACTTGGTTGTTTCAAGCTTTCTGAAGCAACAAATGTTCTTTCGGTTTTTTTTGTTTCATCGTTCTTGGCCTCATGATAAAGCATAATTAAGCTGTATACCTTTTGTGTTTCTTATTGATGTTGTTTCATTGGTTCTCTTATATTTGGATGTTTTTCAAAGCAACAAGGAGGCCCCTAGATAGAAGCTCTCCTTCTGTCATTGTTGTCTTATTCCTTGATATTAAGAATCTAAAATTTAAAATCCAAAATTTAAGAAATCTGAGAATCACAAAGCCCAATTGTTCGAGGTTTTAGACAAATTTCTAGATCTTAGCATGTCTAATGTGAGGGCTTTCATTAGTACAACTTTCTTGGTTGTCTTTTCTTGAAATGATGCTTGCTTCATGGTTATGTGCTGGATTTTGGAAAATTTTCTGAAAGTTAGATTTAGTTTTATCAAATATTCTATGAATATGGTTAGATAATATCACTAAGAATTGTGACTTAATATTTAAGAACCACTGAGGTTAAGTGATTTGTGAGAGTAATTCACCATGGGTTTTGTGACGAGTCTTTTTTTGTGACGAATCTTGTGATGAGTCTTTTTTTTTGTGACGAATCTAAGTTGTGAAAATAAGTAGAAACACCATAGTTTTGTGACGAGTCGGAGGTGTGAATATAAGTAAAGTTACCTTCAATAAGTAGGTCTTAAATGCATGTCATTGTCATTTCTTATGAATCTTTTCTTGCGACCTTAAAGAGAACGCGTAAGCTATATGGGTTGATTGATTTTCATTGTTAACCCTATAGCAGGATTCCATATCCAGATCTTAGGATTCCAGAACGAGTATGTTAAGTATGTCATGGCTGCTGATAAAGAAGAAGAGATCAAAAGAAACTACTGACAAATTTCGGAGAAATGGAACTGAAGTTAAAGTACACTGGAATAAAAGAATTAATAAGAGACAGAGGGGGAGGTGCTCAGTTTTATAAAAGAAAAATCAAAGAATAAGAAAGTGAGGGAAGAAAAGAAAAGGTTGAGAAAGGGAGGTGGAATAAGAGATATTGATCTGTTGGAAGAGAAAGAAAAAAGCGATGGACCAGTTGGAAGGGGTAGAGGAGTTTTTCTTGAGATTTGGTATATATCATTTATCTAGGAGAAGATGGAAGTCAAGGGTGAAAACATCAAATATCTTCGATCTTAGATAAAACTGAATGTTTTATGATCTAAGGATGCCTTTTGACATGTTAGACTCCTAATGAATGGTCCTGTGGAGGTTATTCAAAGTATTGATTGTCGGAATTATTTCTCCAATACTCAATAGGGACCAGTATGAACATTTATATGGAAACTAGTTTTCATTTTTCATCTATCCGAGCAGCTATGTTGCATGGATACGGGTGCTGGTCCGAGTACAGGTAAGGGTCGCGGCAAATTTGTAAATGGTAGGGTACATGACACGGCTATATAAATATTTATATACACATATATTATATATTGGAAATAATAATTTATATGAGAACAAGGATGATAATTAGAAATCCTATGATAACCTTGTGTTTCTTTTATTATGTGAAGTGTAGGATACAACAACAACAACAACAACAACCAAGCCTTTATCCCAAATGTTTGGGATGGGCTACATGAATCTTATTTTTCCATTCCATTCTGTTACGGGTCATTTCCTCCGTTACATTAGTCTTAATCATATCCTTCTTAATACAATGGTAGGATACATGTCCAAAAAATGTATGACAAGGGTTTTAAATTAAAACATGTATTGTATAATTGAGTACATGCCCAAATAAACGTATGCATATGTGCTAGGAATATCCAAGGAGTTTGGGTAGAGGTACGTGTCGGGTATGGATACGGCTTCGGATTAGAATTACCTAGGTAACCTAGCTGGGCAGTTGGCGAGTTGCATTTAACTTTTCTCTTAAAAAAAATTAATCCTGTTATGGTTTGTGGTTCCTGTTTCTATGATTCCCTCTCCATTTGATATTGCTCTAAATCATCCATTTTCCAGTTTAATACCCTCCAAAATTGTTCTATATGCTTAAATATATAATGCACCTATACTTAGTGTGTAGTTTGCCAGTTATGTGCATTTAGCTGTTTATATTTGTTAATTGTCTGGTAAATCCTGTGAACTCTTTGTATACTTTCAGGAAGGAGTACATGCCCCAATTTTAGCAGATATTAACTTTGGAGAGTGGCTTGGAGGTTTCCTATATTCAGCTGGACAACAGGCTAATGAAGCTGTTCAGGATCAGTTATCTGCCCTCAGTTTCACTAGGTTCCATTTTTTTGTTCTGTAACCATGAGAATTTTATGGTTTAGTCAGTAATTATTTCATTGTATTGTTAATCACATTTGCCAATTCTGCATGTATTTTGCAGTATAGCTGTTATTTTTGGTGCAGGACTTGTAACTAGCCTATCACCATGTACACTAAGTGTTTTGCCGCTGACTCTTGGTTATATTGGTATGAAATTAGAAAAATTGTTCTGCAGGGTTTTACTAAATAATGGCACTGAAATGCACAATGGAACCATTATTAGCTGACAGATGTTTTGAAAATTTTCAGGAGCTTTTGGCTCAGGAAAAAGTCGAAAACAGGTAACTGCTTCCTTATGACTATCCTCCTTGATACTATTACATTGTCTCAGATTTGTAGGTAGCGACAAAAATAATTTTAAAGGTTATTTAGATGATCTTCAAATGCCTATTTCTAGAATTCGAAATCTTTGCCAGTGAGTGTACAGCATTTTTGTACTAGGTCTTCAAAATTTTCACAAAGTAACAGTATTTATGCTCACCAGTGCAATCATTAATGTATTCTTGAAACTCAAATTCAATGCAATTGAGCACATTAGTTAACCCAACAAATAAAATATATTGTCATTTGATGATCTAGATTTTTTTTTACCAAGGCAAGTCGATTTGTCAAGTTTTTTTTCTAATAAAATATACTTTCTGATTCTAATTTTCTTCCTTTATGGTTATTTTAATGTAAAAGTCAACAATTGGGTGTCTGTGCTTCTTGTAGAGATTGCCAATTGCCAAGTATTTTTATTAAGGTTCTATTTTATTTTTGATACTTTTCATTTCCTTCTTCACAGATTATTTCAGATTCTATAGCTTTCTCATTGGGATTAGCAACAACTCTAGCTATTCTCGGTATTGCAGCTTCATTTGCTGGAAAGGCATATGGGCAAGTAGGACAAGGACTTCCAATTGCTGCTTCAGGCTTAGCAGTCCTTATGGGTCTGAATCTCTTGGAGGTAGGTCCATAACTAATTAGTTCTTGGATTGGTACTGCCATATTAATCATGCAGTTAATTTTCCTTTTTAGCAAGACAGTCTACTACCCTTTCGTTAGCTTTCCTAAAAACTGCAGCTCCTTAATTTCTTTGTAATTATTCAGTAATATGTTAAAGTGTATGCCAGATCTTCAACTGTCATCCATGCCATATTTCTAGATATTCCATGATGTTCATACATCCGTCTAAACTGTATTGGTTATCTGTATTGTAGATAATTGAACTACAGCTTCCATCATTTTTCAACAACTTTGATCCTCGTTCTGCGGCAGCTAGCTTCCCTTCCAGTAATTGAAATTTCCTTTTTTTAGTATCCGTTCTCTCATCAGAACTTTCATGATTGTCAAAATTGTTTGAACCAACTTTATGCTTACAATTATGCACGGAAAATTAAATTTCAGGTGTACAAGCATATCTTGCTGGTCTTACATTTGCATTGGCTGCATCACCTTGCAGTACTCCTGTGCTTGCTACTCTTTTGGGATATGTGGCAGCATCAAGGGTATAACAGATTGCACATGTCTTGTCTCAATGATTTTTCTCCTCAACTACTTATCGAACTAGATGACACATATTTGTTCTTTCATGAAACACGAGATGGTTCCCGATCTGGATAGCCACATAATTATTGCAATATAATCTCATTTTAGATGATCATACATAACAAAGCTCACTGATTAGCTAAAATGTTCATATCATTTTGTTGTATTTTTCATATCTTGGTATCATGCTTTTCACCGAAGTTAGACACAACACTTTGTTTCTTATCCTTTAAGACAGAATATTCCCTCCAACATAGATACAATAGCCTGCATAGACTTGGTATTAACTGATGATTTTTGTGAGGGAATAAAATGTGCATGAATATCATATTTAGAATAGGGGAAAATGTCTCCTGGTAAGTAACACCATAGTTCTGATGCTACTCTTTAGCTATGAAAATTGAGTTTTAAGTTTTTAGCCGAGTCAAGAACAATATATAACTTAAAAATATACGCAACTACAATCAGCCATAACCTTGTCTTGGTATTAACTGATGATTTTTGTAAGGGAATAAAACGTGCATGAATATCATATTTATAACAGGGAAAAACATCTCCCAGTAAGTGACACTAGTTCTGAGACTATTCTTTGGCTGTCAAAATCGAGCTTATGCCTTGAATCAAGTCAAGGACAAGATATAACTTTAAAATACACAACTACAATCGGACATATAGCCTTGTTCATCTGGAAAATGTACCAAACCTAATGTTTCATTTTGTGCCATGTCATCATTTCGTCTTCAATGGCTACCCTACAACCTACATTTTATAAAGCCTCTTACATAGTCTCGGGGAACAGGTGAGACTCAATAGTGGAAGCAAAAATATTATCTACCAAGTTTACATGCTTTCTCCCTGATATTTTTGCAAATCTCCTTTCAAATTATATATCAAACTGCTTTCAATCTGCTAAATTTACACAACTACAATCGGACATAGCCTTGTCATCTAGAAATTGTACCAAACCTAATGTTTCATTTTGTGCCATGTCATCGTTTCCTCTTCAATGGTCACCCTACAACCTACATTTTATAAAGCCTCTTACACAGACTAGGGGAACGGGTGAGACTCAATAGTGGAAGCAAAAACATTATCTACCAAGTTTACATGCTTTCTCTGTGATATTTTTGCAAATCTCCTTTCAAATTATAGATCAAACTGCTTTCAATCTGCTAATGATTCACTGGAGATGCTTTGTTTTTCAGGATCCAATTATTGGGGGAAGCTTGCTTCTCACATATACAACTGGCTATGTTGCTCCTCTTTTAGTTGCAGCATCTTTTGCTGGTGCTTTGCAGGTTGAAATTTTCAATTCCCTTTTTATAACCGAGTCTTTCTTGTTGGCCAAGACTGATATGCGTTTATCTGTATGCTTTTATATTTATTTTTCTAATCACATGACATTTATTATTCATTGAAGGCTAGTCAATACAACAGCAACGACAAAACCTTATTTTGCTATTCACAGAACAAAGCCTTCATTGAAGGCAAATTAGATACATATTATTAGTTGAAGATGGAAAGTTAATCAAATCAACGTTGCCTAAATATCTGATGTACATTTTGCCATATCATATGTGAGAATTTTCTTATCTACTTGCAGAGCCTTCTCTCATTTCGGAAGTTCTCAGCTTGGATTAATCCGACGAGGTATGATATTTCTATGAAATGCACCATGTTTATCACTCCAATCGTCATTTACAAGAAATAAAAGATACGCTGCAACACAGACCATTATAGGGAATCTCCTTTGCAACCTATTGTTCCATCACCAAGTTAGGGCCAACGATGTTGTTCTCTAAGAGACCTCAATGGTTGAACATGCAATCTTTTTCCATTATTAAGGTTTGTAAATATGATTGCTTAATTGGTTCTGCAGTGGAGCTCTTTTATTGGGAGGGGGTTTGTATACTCTCTTGGACAGGCTATTTCCTGCATCAACAATGATAATGTAGCAGATGCAACACAATCTGTAGATAATGGTATGAACAATCTCGGTATGTGAAATTCCTTTTGGCACTCAGAAATTTGTCTCACTATTAGACAGAGTTCTTCAGCTGTAATGACCAATTACCAGTTATGTAATCTCCCTGCTTCATCATCTCCTTGGTAGCTATGTGATATATTGTAGTCTTAAGAGCATTCAAATGGAATCAAAACTTTGCCTCGTAGTTTTCGGAGGAGTTAAATAAAGTTTCAGCTAGAGTTAGTTACTGAAGATTTCTAAGGGAACTGTCTGAATTAGCCTCTTCCAGCTTCATATTATTCCAAAATACATTCAGGTTCATGCAGTGGGTCGGGGTATAGAATATAGTGGACTTAATCAGTTATCTAACTTTAAGTACAATTCTTGCAATATATTCCTTAATATTTTTGAAGTGAACTTTTATGTTTGAGTGTAAATTTGTCATTTCCTGTCTGTTGTTGCACACTCCAGACGTCACTTTGCTTTTCTTCAGCCAACTCTGTGGATTAAATGCTTCGACCTTAGAGTAGTCCCTCTTATCTTCTAGATGGTTGCTCCTTAATTTTTCAAGATAGACCTATTATTGGATGTAAATCTGCACCCTCTTCATGTGGATTTCAAAAATTAATTATCAAATAATACACTGTATGGACACCCGCTTTATAGTTATGGGTAGTTAAACTTCGTATTTCATTAGGAGTAACTGAGTTTGATACCTCATGTCTTCCTTGCTTGCTCTCAGGTCTGAAATTGAATAATCCCTTCAATCACTGTATGAATCCCCCATGTGGGTTAGCTTATCTTTCTAACTCTAAAACAAGTGTATATTGTTCTAATAGTGAAAAGCCATATGTTGCATAAAAGCCATATGATTTATACGAGCTTATACTTACAGTTCCTGCCACCCTCGTTATTGATGCAGCATGAATACTTTTACAAATTCCCTTTGATATTTTTGCAGGTTGGGATGATTCTATGTTCTACCAAATTATTCAAGATATTTTTCCTGCACGATTATAGCCGACGGTTATTGTGAGTTCTGCTGTTTTTACTTCTGGCTTCCTAATTATATCCTATTCTCCATAGATAAATCATGATTTTCTGAAATTCTGAATTTCTAACGTCGGAATCATCGCGGAACTCCAAAACAGGCAACTGTAGCCAGCTCTCAACCCCTGGTACACTTTTGTTTTTTAAAAATCATGGACCAACTTGGAGCAGTATTTGCCGGTCAAATAACACTGCTTGATTCAAGCATATCATAGGAAGTGAGCGCTAATATCATTGGCGGAAGTGCACAGCATCCAAGCTACTTAGCGGCAAAGAGGCTCTGACGAGGAGTTACTTCTCTTCTTGTAACAAAATAATCATATTTCACTTGGTTTGGAGAATATTCTTATGGACAAGCTGTTATGTTAGGATGGTACATTGTTCAAGTTTTCTCTGATAGTTTCTTAACAAGAATTGCATTAGACTCGATGATGAACTCTTGTAAAGAAGATAAAGTACAGAAATGTTTAAATGTTCAATATAACAGCAACAAAAGGAATTTTTTTGTGGTTGCTTGCTTGAATCTTTTTAACTCCCCTCCCTTGATTTCTATAAGAGCCATATCCTCCTCTCTAGTGGTGCACAAAAATATCCGTATCCGAGAAAATCTTTATATCTATTAGGATGCGGATATGGTTGCTAATAATCTCTAGGGGTACAAAAAGTTGATCTTGTCAGTCTGCAAGAGGCCAAACTCAATTCTATTAGACTCACCACTCTTAAGTCCTTAGGGAGTGGTTTCATCTCTTCCTGGATTTCCTTAGATGCTATCGAGTCTAGGGGAGGAGTTCTTCTCGGCTGGAATGATAACATTCTCCTGTTCCTTCTCATCCATAGATATCTTCTCTGTGACAGCTTTTCTTACTCATTCTCCTTTAAACTGGACCTTTGTTGTTACCTCTATTTACGCCCCATGTGACGCCTCAGTTAGAGAGGTTTGTTGGTGGGAACTCAGTAGAATCAGGTCTTCTCACTTCCTCCCCTGGGTTGTTTTTGGGGACTTTAACATGACTCTCAGTTTGGCTGAAAAGAAGTGGTCGCTCAGGCTCTATTAAGGACATTGAGACGTTTAAAAACCTTATTGCTTCTCTCCATCTTTCTGATCTCCCTCTTAGTGGAAGAAAATTCACGTGGTCCAACTGTAGATCCCTTCCAATCCTTGCTAGGTTGGATAGATTTTTAGTATCTACGGACTTTGAAACTAAATTCCCTCTTCTGGTTCAGTTCGCATACCAAGCTCCTTACTCAGATCACTGTCCAATCATTTTAGACACAAGTTTCCCTCATCCAACTCCATTATTTAGATTTGAAAAATACTGGCTCTCAGATCCTTCCTTCATTCCTTTCATTCAAGACAGTTGGAGATCTTTTCGCTCCCACGGCCACTCCCCCCTTTCGTTCCCTTTCAAGCTGAAACTCATTAAAAGATGAATAAAATGGTGGAAAAGGAACTGTCTTAGTTCTCATCATCTTCTCTCTTCTACCCTTGTGGCTCAGCTTGACTCCCTCAACTTGATTGAAGAATCCAGAGCCTTATCCCCCTTGGAAATCCAATCTAGAAGTGTTTTGAAAGACCAGCTTCTTGCTCTAGCCAATGCTGAAGAAACTAAATGGAGGCAAAGGTTTAGAATCCAATGGTTGAGAGAGGGTGACAATAACACTAAAATTTTCCATAACTTTGCATCTCACAGAAGAAGGAAAAATTTTATTCCATTCCTCATAGAGAATGATCTAATCATCTCCGTTGAGTCAGATATGAAAAGGGCATTCTTTGACTGCTTCTCCAATCTCTTTCGTCAACCTCCTGATTCCAGGCTATCAGTTGACTGGAACATGACCTCTCCCCTCTTGATCTTCCCTTCTCTTCTGAAGAAATTAAAGCAGCAGTTTTTGATCTCCATCCAAAAAAATCCCCGGGCCCTGACCTTTGCTATTCTATCAAACTTTCTGGAACTCCATAGAGGTGGACACAATAGCCTTTTTTTAAAAACCTCTTCCTCCATCCCCAAACTCTCCACAACATAAATTACTCATACATTTGCCTCATTCCTAAGAAAGAAGGTGCCAACTCCCCAAAGGACTCTCATTAATAGTTCATGTAATATCTTTTCGAAAATTTTGGCCAATAGACTTAGCAGAGTCATTCATCTCCTTATAGATTCCTCTCAGTCGGCTTTTCAAAAAGGTAAATCTTCCCTTGTCTCCATTCTGCTAGCCCATGAGATGATCAATTTCTGCTTTTTAGGTGCTCAAGAAGATAGGTTGGCTAAAATGATTCGTAGGGCAGCCATCAAGCTGCAGTTTGAAGATATAGCAAAGAAGAAAGCGGCAGCTGAAGTGGGAGACAATTTTTCAGCAGACTAGTTCTTATTGGTTATTACTCATATCGGTTGTTTCTTTTGGGAGTTTTCTTTTGAGGAGTTTTCTTTTGAGGTCTGGCATCTTCTTCAAACTCCTTAACTATCTTTTGTAGTATTTATTCTTGGTTTTATGGTGTATATGCATACTTTGAGCTATCTAGTTTAGGTAGAAGATGCTTTTTAATCTGCTCTTCTTTCTGTTCATTTTTGGTGTGCCTTCGCCTTTTTTGATAAGGTATGTATATTCTCTGTAAGTTTTTTCTTTTTGTTCACAAACTGATAGGATATCGTAACGAATATGGTTATGCAGTGAAATGTCAATATCTAAATATCTGAATATATGTTATAGTTATAGGAGTTTTGATCCTTAGATTATTGGATTTGATGTTAATTTTGATGATCAATATATCTAATGTTAGTTTTACAAATATAACATATTAATGAACTCTCCCCTACCATATGAACTATATTTTTTCAATATCATCTAGGTTCCACATATTTATTTTGTATCCACATATACATCTGCTTATATACGCATGCATATCCATATCCATATCAGATTTTAATGGATATGCTTATGAATTCTCTTCACCAATGCATATTTGTATCCAAGATTAGTAAGCAGATATGAATATGGTAAGTATCATATTCGAGCCATATCCGAACCGTGTGCACCCTTCTCACATAACCAATCTAATCTGCTCTCTTATAAATGCTACCTCAAAATATCTTATATCAAAGGAATCAACCTTTATAACTTCGCATATAAATCTTAAGAGACTATTTGGCAACTGTGGATAGTTCACTTGGTTTATAATTCATTGTAAGCGGATTATAAGTCAAAATATTTGGTAAATTTTTTCAGTATCAATTTCTAGTCCTTTATAATTTAGGAGCATCACTAAACATATAATAGTTTTGGACAACTATATTTAATAAATGCCACCTATGAGAAACCGAAATTCCCTGAAGACTATTACCATTATTTAAGAAAGTCTTTTTTTGGTGTTCTACCCCCTACATGTGTCATGAATTCAAATAATTCCATGAAATGTCCTCGTAATTTGTTATAGTTTAAAAATCATGAAAAGGGTAAACTTAGAAAACTCGAAAAAAAAAACTACCATTTTAATTCCATCCATCCATGTTCTCCATAACTATACCCATTAACCACTGATAGCTATCTTTAATACCTCTGCTTACTCATCCGTCTCTTAAACTTCTCATTATTATTTAACCTAAAGATTGAATTATGTATGCCCGCATAGCATGCACAAAAAATACTAGTTATACATGAACAGCAACACCCAATAGCATTTCTATGTCACCAAAGAGAATTTGTCGCAATTATAGGCAGTCTTCATCTTATAAATCTATTACTATATTCTTATAAATATATTGCTATATTTCAAAGAAGTCTGGCATTTTGTTTCATATTCTGTTCGGTGTACTGCCTTTGTTGATCACAAATTCAAAATATCCGTACTGATGTCTTCAATAACCTCCAAGTATTTACAGCTTACCAAGGACTTGGAAAGACGCACAAAAAAAAACTACAGAAACCCAACCCGAAAACAAACAAAAACTCCCCACAAACTTTCTCCATCCCATTCGCTGAACTTAAACTCCGAAGTGTCTCTAAACATCAATCTAGCAATCAACAAAACTATTAACACCACTGAGAGACTACTTACTATGACAATGTCGACGGCACTTTCAAGAAACTCTTGATCATACAGAGGAAGTTGAAGAAATCAACTAAGAGATAATTAAGTTAATTTTATGACATTAGTCAACATACTCCCTTCCAAACTTGTTTGCCTTTTTCCATCCGCAATAATTTTTGGCTTAAACCTACTTGTACAGCCATCTCTTCCGAACTTGTTTACTTTCCATCAGCAATAATTTTTGGCCTAGACCTACATATACAGGCATCAATTATTTAGGCACTAACAACGCGCTTTTATTATGCAATACTTTGCACCGTGTATGCACGCAGCTCGCACCAAAGAGAACTAGTACCACGAAAGAAAACCAATCTTCTTCTAATGCTCAAAGGGAAATATTCTGTTTGAAATGACAATTTTGCAACATACAAATAGTAAACGGCATACACAAAATCTTTATACGATCCATCAACTAAATAGAACAAACTAAAAATCTAATTCTATAAATAACTGCAAAACTTGCAAAAAACGTTCTCCTCGTCAAGTCTATAATTCGATACAAATATTGGGATAAACCTCTTTTCACTAACGAGCAGCTTGCGCAGCTTGTGCAGGATCTAAAATGCTCTTTGCCAATACATAGGTTCGCATATTTATATTCTTCATGCTCTCAATTATTTGTTCATGCCTGCACGAGGGTAACATACAGGAAAGTATGTTTTTGTGAGAACAGACATCACTTAAAAAGATAGGACTAAAGATACCAATACTAAAAAGATTCCTAATGGATTGGAGACCAAAAGAATGAAGTTACAGAATAATGGAAGTTTAAAAAAGGACTACAAGAATGAAGAGGGAAGTACATAAAGGCTTTTAAGTTGGCAAGTCGACTTACACATTGGGATGATTGGTCCCCATTATAACAGTTCCAGCAACTGAATCAATCTTGGCTTCAAGCTTCGAGTTCCGAACAAGATTCATTATCCATCTCTCTGCCTCGTCATAGTTCATGTTCAACTTTTCCGCAAGCATGCTGTAGGAAGCATATCAGCAGATGGATAAGAATTTCAAATAAATTAAAATATCTTTTCCAAAGTCTAGTAATTGACTGAGTAAAAAAAAGTTACAAAACATGAAGAAAACGGGACGTATATCATTTAAATGGGCAGAAAATCATGCAGAAGAAAAGGGTGGGTTTCAAAACGACATGATTTACAGGAAGGGGAAAAGAAGAAACAGGATATGGATGATCCATAAACATATTAATTGGCTAACAAGACAGATATGTGAGCTAACCATTCGGTACTCTTTATGGCATGTTATCATGCAATCCACTTTAACAGCGTCAGTTTGTTTACAACTACTTGTAAATTAATAAATATAATGCTCTATACTTGATGTCTGCAAAGTCATTCCCTAATTGAAGATTCTATGAGGTTGGGTGGGTTTAAGGGTTCCGCAAGTTGTATGCTGCTTCTCAAATATCAAACTTTTAGATTCAGTAAGTTTTCTATTTTAACTTCTACGGTTTTACTTGCCATCCATTAATAGCCTTGGACTCTACGGATTAGGACAAAGATTCTATGACTCAACACCAACATGAAAGGCAAGTTCAAACTTTGTTGTTTAAGAGTTCAAAGCTTATTCTCATAAAGAATCCAGATGTGCCTGACACTTACATGATTAAAATGCAAATGGATTTCATTCATTAAAGCTAAAAGCAAGGATTTGAATGGCGTCTGTTGCGTATGGATTTCCAAAAGGCCACTGCTACTTTTACTAAAATGCAACTATATTCCTACCTCTGATAAGTACAGGATTCCAGCACTTCTATGTGCCTGACGCTTCTATGCTTCAAATGCAAATGGAGAAACAATATTTGTAGAAGGCCATCTTGCGTCTCAACATATAATTACTTACATTCAGTTATATTATTTTGGTGTGTGATCATTTAACTATAATTTGATGTCAATGTGATAATGAAATGAAGTCATATACCTGATATCAATACACTGGTGTATACGGCAATAAGTCTCGAAAATGAACAATCGGGCATTCTCAAGAAACTCGTCCCTCAAAGGTACGGTTGCAAAGTTACCATCTTCAATGCGCTTGCCAAGAAAGGGATCATTCAAAATTACCTAAACTTAAGCAAGGCATCAGATAACATAATGAAAAAATAATAATAAACTTCTTAAAGAAAAAATGCATATAATAAAAACAAAAGCAAGAAAATTATAAAAGCAAGAACTACAGAAAATTTTTAAATACAAGACCAAGCTCCCTGATAAAGGAGGTTGATGACCACATTGAAGAAATACAAGATGGAATACTATAGTCAAGTAACTGAAAATTAAAAGCATGTGGTAGTATGTACAGTATTTCCAGGGATAAACCCTAGCAGATCAACAATAAACTCAAACAGACTTCATCAAGTCCCTCTTCTGTAAACAATTAAACATCATGTGACATCGACTTCACAGCCAAGTTGAAGAATTGCAAAAGATGCCTGGTTTATTTTAGAATTTCAAGTGCACTCACAGCCTTTATGACTGACTTGAAGCCAGTCCCAAACCACATACCTATGTGAGCAAAGAACACATTTACATCAAAACGAAAAGTGCATTTAATATGCTATCTGCTTCTACTCCACCTTAAATATTGCATCAATCTTCATTTTTCTACTCCGACAAGGTCATTCAACAATCTTACTACTGCCAGTCACATGAACTTCAGACCATGTGAAAGATCTCGAGTTGAAAAATGTTTACTTTAAGTAAATTATAGATATATTTAGAGAAGATAAGGCTTAAATCTAAGACCTGTCAAAACCTGAGAAGTCTAGTATCGTATTACCATGTCGACAACACACACTTTAAACTTCAAGCTCATGGATTGTAGGCCAGCAATACATACAAAAGCCAGACGCCAAACTGAAAGGGAGGATGCTATATCAAAAATATATATATGGTGTTCATAAAATTTTGCAACAGCTAAAACCAATAGGACATTACGAAATTTCTCCCCAGGAAAGGGGAGAAGGGGAGGGAAGAGGGTGGCATGAGGGCTCATTTTAGCTCCCTGCATCCTAATAACTACATTGATTGGGCAGATTTCAATATTCCTTGTGATTGTTTCCGTGCCAAAATTCAACTTCTTTTCTTGGTTGATTACCTGATTTTGATGAATTTATAAGAATGTTAATATCACATGTTATATTTGCATAAAGAATTAAACAGTTGTAAACATAGGTATCCAAGACACGATATATGTTTATATGCTGAAATCACATGCACGCGTGTATAACCTCGAGTTAGTACATGAATTGTGATCAAGTAGTAAAATTATTGATCAAACATTAGAAACCTCAAGACAAAAACAGGATAGGAACTTCAAAGAATAATGCAACATTTAAAGTAAAGTTTCCTATGCACAAGTTACTATCTCTTCTAATAAACAGAATATATAGTTTAGCACATATGATTGAAAATAGGATCTGAACGTTGAATATATAATGGAGTCAAGAACGTTCATAGAACACTGCATAACAAATGAGTATTGACCAACTTACTTCTTCACATTCTCTAAGTTTATTCTGTGCACCTTCAAAGTCATAGTTAACATAAAGACATTCTATAAACTCGGTAATGGGATCCTTGTAAGAATGCTGCTCTTGCTGAATAACTTTGATCAACTCCTTAAGCATGTTTCTCTTTCGTTTGTTGACAACAACAGCAGTAGCAACATATCGTAGAAGGTGATGGGCATTTGTTTGGATAGCATTCAAGTACCTGCAAAGGGTGCAGAAGAAACTTACTAAAATATTGACAAGAAATTTACCATCTTGCAACAACCTCACTCTTTAGTTTACATTCCAAGCATACAATTGATATCTCGAAAATTCTAAACCCAAAGTTAATAAGCCAGAAATTTTCAATTGCAGCTAGAATATAGCCAAGGATATGATATATTCATATCCTACGACCCACTACTACCTTAAAGGGAAATGCCTGGTTGGCATTTCGGGATACCTCATTTCTCATCCAACATATAAAAAAAATTTAAGTCGTGTCGTATGGATTTTAGAAATTATATGCGATGGAATTGCAAAGGAAAACTATTTCTTTCTTGAATTTGAAATATTGAATACATCGGATTGGCTATTAATTGTGAACAGTATTTTATGTATAACTCATTAAGGGGCTATTTTCATTAGCTTGCCATGACCTTGGAATTAATCATCAATAGAAACAGAAGGTTCCAAATGCGAATTTCTTTGCAAAACCAAACTTAGTCGAGAAGAAATTAACAAAGGGTACATTTACGCTCATGGATAATTTTATGATACCTATAGTAGTTAAAACATTGTAATGTCCACAGTGCTTTTGCTCGGTCACTTATGGAGTTGTTCAAACTAAATACTGAAAGCTGGGAAGCATCTAAATTTATCAAGATGTTTCAAGTTGTTACATGAGGACATTATTGGCTGCATTATCCTCTTATCATTATAAATTTAAAGAGACGGCACACTTCATCATCGGCTGATTAACTGTATAAACATTGCTAAAAGAAACATTACTAGAGAAACAGCATAGTTAAATAAAGGTCATAATCAGGCTTCTGTACTAACTATATTATCTGATAGAAGACAACAGTTTCTGGAAAAGAAAAACAAAAAACCACACAATCAGGGGGGAAAAGGAGCAACGCTCACTCTAAGGAGTAATATGCTAATGTAAATGAAGAGTTAAGAAATTGTATGGCAGGCGAAAAATTGCAACTATAACAAGTGCAATTTGAAAAGTAAAGTTGCAGATGCACTTGCAATCTTTCGTTTCTTTGAAACTTTTTCCAAACCCAGTTGCCAAAAAGACAACTTTAAGCGAAAAGAACTGACACTTAAAAGTTGACGTCATTTTTGCAGTTAAAAAAATGACTCATTTGAAGAATAACAGTGACAAAAGATGCCATTGCAAACAGTCAGCTATAACTGCAATGGCAACTATTTTTCTCTTTACGAATCAAATGGCCGATAAGTCAAGAAAATCTGCAAACTTCAGAAACAATTAAAAACAGGAAGAAAATAAATTTGATTCACTTTTTAATATAGAGCATACTTATCCTGGAAAAACAGGTCTATGATGCCATTTCTCCCATTTTCATGGTTAAAGAAGATGAAAAGGCTCCAATGCATCAGCCATATCCTATTTTGCAACTGACTCAAAGGAGATGAAAAGCTCTGCAAATCCCAAGACCAAAATATTATTGATATTAAAAATACATAAAACTAATAGCATATACCATGCATACCAGAAACAAGGAATCACCTTTGAGTCAATTATCTCTTTCAAGCGATTCAGTTCCTCAAGAGCTTCATCCCAGTTCTGCATTAAAATCTCAGCTGCAAGCTTTCCCCAAAGTACACTAAGGCTCCTTTCACTGTTAGTGCACAATGCACGATATTGATACAAAAATTCAGATGCAGCAGAGTAGTTCCCACACTCAAACTGGAACTTTGCATACTGATATAAAGCTTCTATCTGCTCTGGACCAATCTGCACGACCAGATAAATGTTAGCTATTCAATCAAGGATTGGGAATGACATTGCAAAATTTAATTCACGATATTACTTAATTGAACAGATGACGCTATCACAATGTCATACTAAGAGGATTGAAAAGAAAAACACCAGAAAAACCTAACCCAGTAACGGGCTAAAGTGCAGGATTATAGTACTTTAATTGCCAAAAGTTTCACCCTTCTAAACTTTGATACCCAGAAGTTTTATTTCGTCAGTTTGATGCCAAAGTTTTCAAAATTGACACTAATTTGCCAATTTGACACTCCAAAGCCCTAACTTTGTTCCTCACATTTCCAAAATCAAACAAACTGAAATATGTTAAGAAAATCTGCTTCCAATTCACTTTTTTATGTTGATGTTGCAACTAACCCCTAAACCGTTAGATAGTTTCAAGGATATTTGATAATCTCAAGTAAACAATAGCAGAATAACAACTTTCCTGCAGATTTCTGTTCAGTTTTAAATCAAATAAATTCAGCAATACAACCATAGCAAATAAAAAAAGAACCTTAAACCGGTCATTGAGCATCTGGACGTTGTATTGCTTATCAGCCTTGAGCTCCTGAACATAAGACGGATTCTGAAGGAACGAAATCAAAGGAGCTGCAGACTCCTCCAATGATTTCAGCCTCGAAACGACCTCCGTTCTCCTATTAAACATCTCTAAACAGAAAAAACAAACAAAACTCAAATCAAGAACCCTAACACTATAAAGAAGAATAAAAAACCTAGGGTTTCGGATCTGACCTTGAGGAACCTCTTCAGTGTGATAGAGGTTCTTGTGGATGTCCATAGCGTAATCAACCATGTTCGTTTTGCTCAAAAGCTCGATCTTGGCCTTCAAGATGTCATCGTCGTTGTAAAAACCGCGCTCCTGAAGGAACTCGAGCAAGGGGAAAACCAGATGGCGGTCGAGATGAGGAGCGATTCGAGATGTGAGGTCGTAATTCGCCATGGCTTCTAGGGTTTCGTTCTAGGTTGAGAGAGAGAGAGAGAGAGAGAAACCCTAGATGGAGAGGGGAGCTAAAACGGGAGCTGCTTTTGTCATAAACGGGTCACTATCCAACGGGTTAACTCGAACCCGACCCGGTAAACAGGTTATACATATCGCCTACAGGTAATTGCATATTAATCCCTTACATCATACGTAATTGCCAAATCGTCGCTCAAATCTTAGTATTTGACTATAGTCCCTCAAAATTTCAATTTTCTTGTAAAATTGTCCCTCTGTTAGCGATTTTTAAATTTTTCTAGCTCTAGTTGGGTTAAGCCTAAATCCAACATCTAAAATTACTCAAGTACCCCTATATAATTACTCTCTCGAGTGATCAAATCACTCTTGTTTCCATACTTTTCCGGGGGAAAGAAAAATTGAATTAGAGTTGGGGGAAGGTCCTAACCATTGGATAAAAAAAATTCGGTATGTTGGATTTTAATTAGAGCGGTTGCGGTTATAAACCCTTTCTGAAATGAGTCGGTAATGTTTTAGATGATATGATTAATTATGGATGGGGAGGATAACAAGAAAACCATCTAATTCCATTAAAATTAATAGAAGTTCACTGCCATAAATAAACTTGACCTAACAAGAGAGATGAATTTGCAAGAAAATTAAAGATTTAGAGGACTAATGAGCAAATACTAAGATCTAAGGGCCTATGTGGCAAATAAGGATGGTTTAATGGACTAATATGCACTAATAGGGTTTGATTTAATGTTACATAACCGGGTCGAGTATGGAATTGCATACTTGACCAACTTGAGTAGCATGTAAAGTTAGTTTAATCACCCTGAACTTTGGGAAGTTTTGCACATAAATCCCTGAAGCAATAAATTCGAACAAAATGGATCCAAGCATGCCTGTGAGAGTTTTTTCTTTTTTTCTCTTTTTTTTGTGAGTGGAAATGTTTAAAATAATGTTCTACCGTGTTAGACGCATTGGGTTTTTTTAATTAATCACGGACGTGTGTAGATTAGATGGCAAGATATCCTCATTGGCGAAAAAAGGGAAATGAAGATGTTTTTACTTTCAGTGCAGCAATGATTTTTTGTGGATCGTAATTCCCTACAATTAGATGATAATTGAAGGGTGTTCAATATTTTAATCACCGCCGGTTATTCCAAACTTAGAAGATGAGATGAAGCCACATAGAAGTCTAAATATTATCTTGAAAATCACTATTGTCTTCAAAATCACTATCGGAAAAACCAGTATTGTGATAGTGTGAAGCCTACATAACTTTATCTCAGCCTTTGGAATTAGAATAGAGGGATACGATCAGGATAATTGGACACTCCTCAATCACCAACTTCTTGGAGAGGATCTTTTTTTTTCAGTGTAAAAAGAAAGGTAAATAGATGTCAAAAAAAAATTTGTTAATCTACTCTCGAATATGATAAGTAGTAAAATGAATAAGAGATTGACACGCTAGTAAGTTAAGTAATTGTCGAGAGGAGGAACTTATCTCTGTTTGAGAGCAAATACAGGGAGAAAGTTTAACAAATAGAAAGGCAAATGTCATCTTTCATACGAATACATTGAATCGGTATAATTTGTGTGAAAATACGGTATGATATAAATAAACCGGAAGAGGTATGTATACAAGTATTTGCTCGAAGGAATAATCCTAGAATTCTTTCAGTTTTCTAGGCCGATTTTCAAGAACGGGAATCTTATAATACGTTGAGAATCTCTTATATTAATCACCCACACCTTAAACGTATCTTGATGCCTGAAAGTTGGATAGGCTGGTCCTTAAGTAAGGACTATATTATCCCCAATTTCTCTGAAATACAAGATGCCCATTGAATGATAAGAAATTAATGTTCACTTAATAGGACAACAGCTTCATCAGTTTACAGTTTTGAATTAAATTTGCACTCTTTGCGCTGATTTAAAATCGATAATGCAGCACAGGAAACCTCTTCTTTCCTCAATTGCCCTCTATGCGAACCATTCACCCAATGAAGCGGCACAATAACAACCAACCACTTGATGAAGCCAAAATTAAAAGGAATAAGGGGGGGGAACCTGGAAGCATATAGGTAACAAGTAACTTCACAATAACCTGATAATTAACAATTTTTTCCTTTTATCTCATTGTAAGTTCTACTCGTACCACAAGCTAAAAATAACTCGTCAACAGAGGCAATACAAACACCTATAACGGGGAAATAACACATCAAGAAACTGTCATACCATCATGGACATAAAGAAAATAAAGCAGAGCAAGCATACACACTAGGTTTGCTGACGCTTGGGAGAAAATGGTTCAGAAGGAAAAGCTTATTATACAAGCAACTTGTTTGTTTATCTAAGCAATGAGGAAGGGCAGCACAGTTAGCATGAAGGACTCGTAAGTGAAGGTTGCGGACCCTGAATACGCCGTGTCCTTCTCCTTAAACTTCTCCGTCAGGCCCTGTAACAAGTTTGCAAAAGCAGACACAATTAGTTTCTGAAAAGAACATATAACCAAAACAAATCAAATAAAAATCAAATGCGAGTATTACCTTAACAGTAAGGCAGCACCTACACAAAGTTCAACACACCAAAAGACAAAAGCAGTCAGAAGTTGACAAGATAATTTCCACAGTAAAGTTTTTGGTGAAACTGAGAAAAGTGTAAATTACAAGAAACCTCCATATATACTGTGTCTTTTACGAAATCAATCATCTAAAAAGTTCCCCCCTAGGAAAAAAGAGTTTTTATGATATAAGACCCCCCAAATCTTCCTTGTTTTCAGACAACCCCCTCCAATCTTGATATATCCAAATAACCCCCCACCCCACCCCCGGGCTCTAAATCATGTAAGTTGTTTAAAAAAACCCCTCGGTCAGAAGTAACTCATATTATCAACATTAAATTTTTATTTTGGATGGACCGTTATGCCCCCCTTGATGGCAACAATGGTCAAATTTTATTTACCCCTTATATAAATTCTCTTTTTCTCCAAACCCCCCCCCCCTCTTTCTCTCTCTCAAAGTCTAAAGCTCATTGCTTTAAGATCCCATTGTTTCTTTCTCCTCAGCCCCCAAGCCCCCTCCTCCTTTCACACAGTTATTTTTGGTATGACAGTTTCGGATGTGGTTGTAGAGTCGGAACACAGGAATGGACTTCCAAATAAGAAGAAAATAAAGCAACAAAACTTTAGGGACGCTCACAGTATAAGAGAGGAGAAAGAAGGGGATGCAATTATTTCAAATGGGTAGATGACACAGGAGAGCAAGTGATCAAGCTCAAATCAAAGTTATTAAAGTATTTGAAATTGATTGTATTTGTTCTAAGGTTATCGATAGCGGATAGCGTCGCATAGCGGTGAGGCGTCGCTAAGGCTATTTCGGGCTATTACGGTAAAATAACGGTAAAAAGCGCAAAGTCAAATAACGGTGTAATTTAGATATGTATAAATACTAAAAAAATAAAAATTAAAGAAAAATCTAAGAAATCTAAAAGTACATATTGGATGATTTAAAGAGATCCTAAATATGAAATAGACATGTAATCATCACGTAATACCGAAGATAACGGGAGGAGTCAAAAAGTCGTCGTCTTCGAGAAGAAGAGCTTAGCGGTGACAGGACTGTCCTAAGAGGAGCTCACGGTGAAGGAGGTGAGAGGAAGTATCAAGGTAGGTGCCAGAGGATATGAGAGGTGGCGGGAGTATGCTGAAAATCACAAGAGACGGTGGAATGCAATGGTCAAGGGTTGAGTTTAAATTTCAAAAAATAAGCCTCAAATCGCTTTTAAAAAACAATCAAAAAGCAAATTTCGAACGCAATCGCTCACTATTTACCGTTATGACACACTATTGGTCACTTTTGCGAACAGACATATTTCGCAATATGTCACCGCTATTGCGCGATAGCATAGCGGACGATAGCGTAGCGGACGATAGCGTCGCGGAAAGGGACCGCTAACGCTATTAGCGCCGCTATTGCGGGGCTATTTACTGCTATTTATAACAGTAAATTAACATCATATTGGTTATATGTAAAGCCTAGTTGATAGAGATATTTGAAAGAGATTTGGGTTCTAAACCCTATTACGCCTTGAGTTCTTGGGTTCTGACATTTGATGGGGGAGGGGGGGGGGGATAGAGACTAGGGTTTGAGGGTTTGAAGAGGCCGAGTTATTGGAGTTATTGAACAAGGTTATTATTGTAATTTAACCTACATGGTTTAAGGGCTAACCATGGTTGAGTAAGTCATTTGGATGGAAAACATCCATGACGGGGTTTTTTCAACAACTTACATGATTTGGGGGTGCTATCTAGAAATATCAAGATTTAGGGGTGTTATTTAGAAATATGGAAGATTTGGGGGTCTTATATCATAAAAACCCAAAAAAAATTCATTTACGACTATTAATGAAACCATTAATTTTTTAAAAGAGTTTGCTTCTTCAAAGATTTAGATAGTTGAGCGCCTAAGTTTTTTAGTGGAAGGCCGCGCTATTTGTTTACACCCATTAGTTTGTAAGGGCTTTAATGCAGACTTTGATGGGGACCAATTGCATGAGAACGGGTACATGTACCGGTATTGGTAAGGGTACGGGACACGACAAAATTGTAAAATGCAGGATGCAGGGACACGACTACATATGTATGTTGAGATTAATAATTTACATGAGATTATTATTGTTTTTCAAATCATGTTTTACTAGAATTAGATTTCCTATTATGTCTTTTAGTTTCTTTTATTATGTTGATTATTATAAATTGGAAGTTACTCGGATTTGAACTAGACACTGAAAACAATCCTTTAAAATCACAATTTTGAACTTGGACATGGGCTGAAACGAATCTAAATTATGTCTACTGAGTTTCAAGAAATGAATGTGAGCATTGTGAAGTGTAAGATACACATTCAATAAGTGTTTGACAAGTGTTTTAGATTAAAACATATATCATATAATTAAGCACATGTCTGAATAAATGTAAGCATATATCCAAAGGAGTGTCCATGAAGTTTGGGTATGGATAAGTGTGGGGTACGGGTACTGCTTCATGATAGAAGTACCCGGATAACATAGATGAGTGCACTTGATCAGATGTCGGATGTCTACACTTCAAAATTCACAGATTTTGACAGTTCAAATAGAAAGGGGGGAAAAGGGAAAAAAGAAAGTTTCAATGAAAGAAATAGAAGCCAATCTTCATCATCAACTTAGAATTATGCATGGGGATGACTTCCCACACATCTGAAGAATCAAACTCTCTTGCAAAACTATCAGTTTCAATTGACATAGACTTCTTTTTTTTTTTTGGTTAAAGCATTTTAGATGAGGGTTTCTTGAAAAACAAGTATAGATGACTCTGGTTCCTTATGCTTTGCTCCTGAGAATATAAGAGACTCCCATCCCAAGAGAAAGAGAGAATTGGTCTTACTCGATGAAGTTGTCATACTCAATAGCTTTGCTCTTGCCACCAGTCTTGTCAAACTTGGAGACAAGCAGATCAAGAACAACAGGAGATACAGCAAAGCCCAGGCTCAGAAGAGCCTCTCGGAGCTCATTGGTATCAATCTTGCCACTCCGGTCCCTGTCAAACCTCTCAAAAATGCCCTGCATAATGCGATGAGGATAGTACCGGTCAAATCTCCAATTAAATCTAATTTTCAACAATTTCTTTTTCAGGGAAAACAAAAGGAGTTGTGGAAGTTGTCATACCCTCCAACTCTGAAGGCTGTAGAACACAGAGGTGAATTCCTTTGGTCCTACAAAATTGTATTATAAAAAAGACTCAGAATGTGATGATACAATGGTCAAACTCAAATTCTTTTTTGAACAGATATAAGAAAGAATAAATGCTTGGTGTTTGAGAGGATGCAAGAGACAGACTCGCTTACGGGAATGTCTCAAGTAATACTGGATGAAGCTGATAACAATTTACAAAATGTGTTTCCCATCTTAGTTCAATGAAAACAAGCCCACCTAACTAAATCCAGTAACCAGTTGAACATAAAGAATTGTTTGGAAAACCAATGTAGGATTAAATAAATTGGAATATTAGCAGTAAATAGCAAAAAGAATTTTGAAATGCTTTAAAATGACATGTACATTTTTATGAAAAGCAGAAATAACCTTCCTAGTTGGTAGTGAATCGTTATCAAGATTAAGGTAAGAGAAGAAAAACAAATATGACAGCTCCTTGGGACAAATATGAGCAGCTCCTTGGGATAAATAACAGATGTATGTGAAAAAAGGAGGGTTTACATAATTGGGTGAGCAATTAACTGGAAAAAAAATTAATCTGAATACTAGAAAATATGTGGAGAAATTAATGAAAGAACAAAACAATATATGCAGAAAAGATGTCAATAAGATATTAACAGAAAGGAGGTATTGCATGATAATTGTGAATAAGCTGCATCTATAATACCACGACCACATCCATGATCCTAGATAGGGTTTTTTTTTTAATTATGTGTGGTGTCATTGCTTAGTTGGTAAAATTAATTAAACAAGAAAATATCATATAGTAGAAATTATATGCATAATTTTGATAATTTCCCAACAATTCAGCCAAAGCAACTGACTATGAAGTTTTTGTGCATAATTTTCTAGAATTTCGCAAAATCCAGCTAAAGTAATTGGTGGTACAGTTTCTTTGCTATAAAGTTAGAGACCTGTCATTAAATCTATTTTCTAATGTGTTAGCTGTGAGTACTTAGGGAATAGCTGGGCCACTTTAGAGTGCAATTATTTATGAAAATAACGTTGTGAAACAATAATTCAAAAATCATTTTATTCTGAAGAGTAAGGAAACATTCACAAGTTGCAGCGTTCAGAGAATATAGTTGGTGGTCTAAGTCAACCTTCATCCCACTTGGTTCTGAAAGTGCAATTAGTTTATGAAGATAATGTTAATTTGTAATTCAATTAGTTCTGTATGGAAACATTCACAAGTTACAACAGTTTAGTTAATATATCAGGAATTGGTGCTCTAAGTCAAACTTTGTCAACTTGGTTCAAAAACTAGTTTTAAATTCAACTGACTTTTTTTTTGAACCCCAGCAATTGGAAATAAAGTCCAAAATAAGATAGGAGCCCATTGATTATGGAGAGTAAGAACACTCCAATGAGCCATTAAAATGTTTTTTATATAATTAAATGTGAAATAATATATAGTTAATTATTAAATTTTGTCTAATTCCTCTCCTCTTGTTACAAACTTCCAGATCTACATACAGGGAACCAACTAGGAATCTACAAGCTTCCCACCTATTAGGATCCTTTTCATGGGTGAAGAGACAATTTATCATAGGGACCAGAATGCACGAGCAGATGAAATAACACAGTCACATATTAGCCCCCACAAAAGCACGTGTGCGCACACTCACACAAGCGCACAAACACACCTCTCAACATATCTGGATTGCGAAACATATGCAAGTCCCTTTAAGCACCTAGTACTACATAAGATAATTCTGCTGCAGAAAAATTATTATCTAAAAAATTCAACTGATAACAATGAAAAATCCAACAATTTATAGGGTGTGCCTATGAACCACTTCAACAGCTTTCCTGCCATAAAATTCTTGACTTCATGATTTTCTTTTCCGTGCAAGTGGAGAGACCAGTGTTTTAAATGTCGATCGACATGTCGAACATGCCGGATTTAGGAGCCGACCGACACGATATAGAGCTTTTCAATGCGTAATGCGTTTTCAGGGTTCATGTCGAATATACAGAGGACATGTCGGCTATGTCGGCCGATTTTTCAGTCTGAAAAATTGACTGATTTTTTTGTTCTTTTGGTTATGTTTATCTAATCAGGTTTGGGTTTAAATTATTGATTGTTTTAGTATAGCTTCAAAAGACAAAACCCTATAACTTAGGGAAAATGGGAAAAAATATTGAAGTCATTTCCGTCGCTCATCTTCTCTCTCTCCTTCGACATCTCATCAGTCTCTTCTCCGAGCTGTTTCTTCAATAAATACCGGGTGATCTTCTCTTTCCTTAACCATCAACATCAGACTCCTCTTTTCTCACTTCTTTCCTTCAACATAAACCCTAAGTATCATAAGTTATTTAATTTTTTATATGTTTAGACAATAGAATTTATTAAGTATGTTTAGATTTCATTTATGATATTTTTATTACACATATGTACACCATCCGATATGGCAATCCGGTATGTTTTTTATGTCCGACATATCCCCGATTTTCACTATCCGACATAAATTTTAGCCATCCGACATGAACCCGACATCCGACATTTAAAACCTTAGGAGAGACTAGCGCTAATCAAATAATGCTTAGTGCCATACATAAGAAAGCAAAACTAACGGTGGGGAAATTTTCAACTACTTGATGTAAATAAAATAGTTTTTGACAATTAAATTATGAGTAACTAGACGATACAAGTCTGAAGTTAACAATAAACTTAAGAACAAGCGTAGGCTAGTAAATTATAACTCCTTCGCAAGCATACATAACAGCAAACAAATAAACAACCATTTAGGCAAGGAGTCAAATGACAGCAAATAAATAAATTAAGAGGCCAACAAGAGAAGTAAGGTATAACCTTGACTGCCAAATAAGAAAATGAATATAGAAAATAACAAATAGTAAGGTTAACAAACCATGAGTGCAGTCTAATATGCCCTATAAAACCACATGACCACAAATATTGAAGTATCAGCATAAGGCTCGTAAGCGTACGTTAACTGTGCTTATGTTTCTGATGCATATTAAGGAAATGAGATGATAGCACAGCACTAGATAACTAAAGTGATTTTTTTATAGTTTTATTTTGGTCATAAATTTAGTGACATTTGCTAAAAAACAATACTTTCACATAAAAGTCACTAATAGTTGGTAAGGTATAGCTGTAAGCGTCACTGGAATTTTCTTTCTGTAGAGATGGTCTACATCAAAACATTAATAAAGAAACAACACCTTTGTTTCTTGTAACCTTAATAAAAGCATTATGATCACCTAATGCACTTCCAACCCTTTTCCCCTTTTCAAAAGAAACATCCACACTTTTCCAAATTTACAGTTACATCCACATCTCATTACTAGACTTGTAATTCGAAATTACTTCATTAATGCTTTTCTGAGTGCATACTCACACCAATTTCCTATTCGTACTCAGCCCCAAGTTTCTATTGCTGAAGTGGTGTAAAATTATTTTCTTTTCTTCTCTTAAAAATCAAATCTGACTGAAATAAAAACTAAAAAAAAGAGTGAAATTGACGTTTTCCGAAAATCCGCTTTGAACGTGAAACAGGCAAAACTACGAGCTAGCATTTTGCTATAGTGCGCGGGGACACGTGTACGAATCAAAAAGATCCAACTAGAACAGTGTGAATGTCAAAAACCTCGGCTCCTGCGCATCCTCATCCGCTATCGTGCGCCTACCGTCTCCGGGTCGATCCCCGCCCAAGGTCGGCGAAACCAATAAAAACCTACGGCAGCGCACCTAGCCTCGTGCTAACATGCGCCTAGGGCTCCCAGATTTCGAAATTAGGGGAAGATTTTCAAACAGACCAACCATCAATCAAACCCCTAAACCACAAATTTTCATCATCACTCACCGATCTTGCGAACATTGGAGTTGGTGAAGTGATACATCAACAGATGCACAGTCCTCATGCTGAAGCTCTGGTTGTAACTCGAAAGCGCCCTCTGGAGCTCCTTGTCATCGATCAGCCCGCTCCCGTCCGCATCCGCCGCCTGAAAGCACGCCACCACGTTCGGATCAGTCCCCGGCGGGAACGCGACGGCACCAGCGACCGAAACGGGTGCTGCCATACCCGCCTGCCGCCGAGGGTACCCGCCCCCAGTACCCCGGGAGGAGGAGGCCCCGACGTGTACGCCGCCGGGGGAGGAGCCCCGACGCGTACCCGCCCGGAGCAGGAGGCGCCGACGCGTACCGCCCCACCGTACCCTGGAGTGAGGCGGGCCGACGGGTACCCGCCTTGCGGCCGACGCGTACCGCTTGGGCCGACGCGTATCCGCTTGGGCCGAATCGTACCCGCTTGGCGGTGGCCGAGGGTATCCTCCGCCGCCGCCCTCCTCCTCCTCCACCGCACTGCTCGGTCATTAGGGGGCTTTCGCCGGGAGCGTAGGGGGCGAGGGGGCGGAGCGCCGCCGTAGGAGTAGGGTGAGGTGGGGAGCGCCGTAGGGTAGCCGGAGCCGGTGAGGGGAGTAGCCTGCCAATTGAGATCGAATCTTCGGGTTTTGTTTTGAGGTTTGATTCCCGATGAGGACGAGGGCGAGTTTTTATGAGAGGAGAAGGAGCGTGCGTGTGAACTTATAGAGTAATGGACCGCGTTAAAGTTTTCCTCTGTATAAAAAAATAAGGGTAAATGTCTTGGACGATGACCAAGAAACACCCATCACTTCGAAAATATCGGAAATATCGGAAAACTTCCTTGAGGTATAGTGATCATCAGTAGGGCTGTTTGCTTCCATGTTTTTTAGGAAAGACTCTCTTAAAAGTCTGTTAAAAGTGTCAAAATTATCACTTTTTGGCAGGTTTTCAGTCAAAATCGTCTCTAAAAAAAAGATTTTGGCTGAAAACCTGTCAAAAATGATATTTTTGACACTTTTGACAGGCTTTCAAGAGAGTCTTTCCCTTAAAAACAGGGAACCAAACAGCCCATAAACTCCTTCATAATACCCTTTTTTTACTTTGAGATTTTATAAAAAAACCCTCCTAAATTTATGAGTATCCCTACATTTAAGGGGGGCATTCTGATATATTCAAAGATAAGAGGACTCTCTAATAATCAGTCAAAGTTAAGGGGTTTTTCTAATATTTAACGAAATAATAATGACTAGAATATCACATTACTCTATTAACATAGAGTGACGTTTATTTTCCAATAACAAGTTGTGGCGACAATAAGATCTAAAATATTTCATACTTAACCAATAATGATTATTCTGATCGCCAGATTTTTTATTTGAGAGACAAAATTGGGTGCTACTAGGGGCACACCCCCAACCACACCTCCAACCACACCCCCTCTCTCATTTGTTATAGTACACCGGGCCTCACATGTGATTTTAAATTTTTAAAATCACACGTGAGGCCCGGTGCACTGTAGCAAATGAGAGAGGGGGTGTGGTTGAAGGTGTGGTTGGGGGTGTGCCCCTATCATTTTCCGATAAAATTAAGGATTTTTATATATATCCTGTAAATCTCCTACAGATACATATTTGCCCTTAAAATTTAAATATTTACAAAAAAATCATCTCTCTTGCCTCACTTACATTACTCATCTTCTAAACCTTTCTTCTCACTCCCCCTCACTCTTCAGCTCAAATTAATAATTTGATGATTGAAGTAAATCTTATTGGTTAAGTGTGTTAATTTTTAGGTCTTATTGTCGTTTGTTTTAATCTTTAGGTCTTATTAGAAAATGAGTGTCACTTTATAAGCTAACTTTGTATTTTAGCCAATTAATAATTAATCATGTTCTTTTAAGCTTGGATTATGCAAAAACTAAATGTTAATTGAAATGAATATTTAATTAGAATAATATATTGTCTGAGTTAAAACAAACACTAATAAAATAGCTTTTATTGGGCTAAATTATCATATTGGTATTTTTTACATTCGTGTTAACAATTTAGTATTTTTCTAGCTCCAACAATGTCTTGGTATTTTCTCTGAGTCAACAAATGTGCAATTAGACCAAATCTTCGCCGCTAGCAAAAAAAACATGAAACCTCATGTGATGTTACTAGCTGTTATGGTGTTCCTATTTTCGCCAAAAAACAACTCAATACCAAGTAGCTGACAAGTGTACTTCTACACTCTATGCTCAAATCAACTTGGCAGCCAGAGACAATCGGGGCCGACAACTCAGCCGACCCGGCGAGACGACATCCCTCAGTATCGACATGAGGCGGTGTATATCAACACGAAAGGCGGTGCTAGTCGACACGAAAGGCGGTTGTAGGGTCGAAAAATTTTAAGGATTGATTGACTCTCTTGTTTTAAGAAATGAGTTCGATCACTTGGTACGAAACCCTTACAATCACTCACACTCTCTCGATTACAGAGGAAAAGAAGATTAATTTAGCTTCTCTTTTGTTTAAGGTGGGTTTTTGGTGGCGAAAGGATGCTTTCCCCGATGCTTGAGTCGAGCTTGCCTCCCGTTGACGATCAGACCAAGATTCCTAGCATTTCTGACGTTCGTTAGCTGGCTGGAATCAAGGTTCGGACTCCGAATCGACGTGCAAAAATATTGATCTCTGATGCTTCTTAAAGCACAAGTTTGAAATCTCCAATTAATTAACAACCAACCGTTTTCTCTGTAGCCATCGATGGCTATTTATAGGGTTTTAAACACGTAACTGACGTGCTATAATTATGAGTAGAGGGGCGTAACTGACTCCTCTAAATCAACGCACGCCGTAACGTGCTCCTGAAGATTAGCCCACATGGCTGACTAAGTCTTCAGAGCCGTTACGGATTAATCCCACGCGGATGACGAACCTCATCTTTAATTGAAACGAGGTTCATCAAGTAAGACGAGCCTCGGTATACCACGAGGTTCGTCTTATCGAGCGAACTTTGTAGTAGACCAGTTTCTTCTGTCGAATTTTGTCTTCACTGACTTTGTCTGACGAACCTCGTTTTTACTAACGAACTTCATCTTCGACAGCTGAGTCCAACCACATAGTAAGTCTTGTAAGTTTCCTTTTGACGAATCTCATCTTCACTAATAAGCTTTATGTCTGGTAGTGAGCTTCGAACCTCGTGTCCAATGACGAGCTTCAAACCTCGTATCCACTAGTGAACCTCGAACCTCGTATCCAATGACGAGCCTCGAACCCTGTATCCACTTGTGAACCTCGAACCTCGTATCCAATGACGAGCCTCGAACCCTGTATCCACTTGTGAACCTCGAACCTCGTATCCAATGACGAGCTTCGAACCCCGTAGATCAGTTTCATTCAATAATGAATTTTATCTTTTGATGTTGAGATTCGCTGCGTGGCGCCCCTCGCTCTCGAGGTTGATCTTTACTAAACAACGAACCTCGTCTCGGATTGAGAAGGGGTTCGTTTCCCTGATCCTCCTTTTCACATTTCGAATCTTAGCATTTTTGAATGCCTACAAAAACCCCCTTCAAAGTTTTCAGACTAGAATTGGGTTGTATGTAGTATGAAACACTTTGAATAGGCATCTCGAACTTGAGGAGTTTATCTCACGAACCTAGTTTTGTCATGAACTTCCTGTTTGCTACGAAAATGAACATTACCTCATGGTTCGTTCTGGAGTTCGTCCCTTTATACAAGCCCTGTCAGAATAACCAACATCTGACAAATGACACATTGCGGCTTCGTCAGCAATACTGTTATGCGCCTTTCCCAGACCTAATGAATGATTACCAGCTGGTGATTGGAAATCTCCGTAAATCCGGTCCGCAGATCTTGTTGGGGAGAGATTTCATCAAACGACCTCAACCGAAGATCGCAACCCTCAATTCGACCTTTTCCCGTCCCTATATATAGGGTATCATCATATGAGAAGTCCTTTCTTTTCTTCGTCGCTTGGACTATCTGAACTCCTCCTCTTCCAAAATTTCAATCTTTCTTCTCCGTGAGTCTTTTAAGCAAAATCAATAGCCCTAAAAATGCTATAGACCGAAGCAAGAGCAAGGGAAAGAAGGTTGCTGGCCCTTCACACGAACCCGCTGCTCCGCCCACTTTCTCAGGTAATAAATCTTAAACGTACAATTTGTGTTCTGGAAGATATCAACCATGTCTATTTTAGACATGGGTTTCTTGAGGAAGATGAACAGTTTTCTCCAGACTCATCATAAAGATGATGTTGGCTCGTCGTCGATGAGGCTCATCTCCATAACCTATTTCATCTTTTGAGGAGTCTTATCTGCAAGTTGAATTTCACATGTCCAATGATGTTGGCTATCCTGATGAGGGTCATCCTCTAGATTTGTTAAACGAAATTCGTTTATTTGATGAACTTCATCTTTTCATCGACTACGTTTGTTGGATTGGCGAACTTTGTCTTCAGATGGTGAACTTCGTTTTCTTTAATGAACCTTGCTGAACAGGTAAACCTCGTTTTCCCTGTTGAGGTTGAATGAAGTTTGCTCGGCCAATGAAGTTCTACATTTTGTTGTAATACGAGGTTCATCATCTGAACGAATTTCGAAGTTCGTTACTGGAATGACCTTCGTATCATTTGGCAGTGACTGTTGCTTGAGACTAATATTGTTTGTCTTTTTGTGCAGTCATGTATCCTTCTGTTGCACTTCCCTAACGTGGTGATCTCAGAGCGGATGGCACTTAGGCGGCTGCAATTCACCCTCATTACTCTGCCATTGAGAGTATTCCTTTATTTGGAGAAAGGGAACCAGAAGAAGTGGCTCTTCTTTCTAAACCTTCGATCTCCATATTTAGGCGCATGATCACGGATGCTCCCCTAGAGTCTATTAATCGCAAACCCATTGTGAAGCCTATTTTCTTATTTGGAGACTCTTTAGAGAATCCCGATTTGTTGAATATCGGGACTTATGAATGGTTTCGAACTGTGAATGAGCGCAACTTGTTCTTGCCTCGGATGGAGCGTGATGTTTCTCTTACTGCTTTAAAGGTCGTCTCAGCTCCAAGGAGAATGGACTGGGATTTAACTCCACCGCAAGATGGGGTTACGTGTGGTTACTTTTCTCGTAGCGGTGCTAAGATAGATAGCGGTAGCCGTTATATCACCGGATTGCACCCAGGCCTTTTTCAAAAGGAACTTTCTGTCGGTGAGACTGTTGAGGAAGCTAACACTT